ATAGTGTCACAATGAGAATGTGAGCACTAATATCTCTCCAAGATTCTGATTTCAATTCTTTTGGATAAATACCCAGAAATAGGATTGTGGGCATCATGTGGTAGTTTTATTTTTAATTTTTTGAGGAACATCCATACTGTTTGTCATGGAGACTGCACCATTTTACATTTCCACCAACAATGCACAAGCATTCCACTTTCTCCACATCTTTGCCAATAGCTCTTGTCTTTTGTTTTTGTTTTCAAAATAGCCACCCTAAATAGTTGTGAGGTGATATCTCATTGTGGTTTTGATATGCATTTCCCTGATGACTAGTTGATCATCTTTTCATACACCTGTTGGCCATTTGTATGTCCTCCTCTGGAAAAAATGTCTGTTCAAGTCCTTTGCCCATTTAAAAAATCAAGTTACTCAGTTTTTATTTTTTTGGTTTTGATTTGTTCAGTTCAGTTCAGTCGCTCAGTCATGTCCCACTCTTTGAGACCCCATGGACTGCAGCACTCCAGGCCTCCCTGTCCATCACCAGCTCCCAGAGTTTACTCAAACTCATGTTCATTGAGTCAGTGATGCCATCCAACCATCTCATCCTCTGTCTTCCCCTTCTCCTCCTTCCTTCAATCTTTCCCAGCATCAGGGTCTTTACAAATGAGTCGGTTCTTTGCATCAGGTGGCCAAAGTATGGGAGTTTCAGCTTCAACATCAGTCCTTCCAATGAACATTCAGGGCTGATTTCCTTTAGGATGGACTGGCTGGATCTCCTTGCTGTCCAAGGAACTTTCAAGAGTCTTCTCCAACATCACAGTTCAAAAGCATCAATTCTCTGGTGCTCAGCTTTCTTTATAGTCCAACTCTCACATCCATACATGACTGCTGGAAAAACCATAGTCTTGACTAGATGGACCTTTGTTGGCAAAGTAATATCTCTGCTTTTTTAATATATTGTCTAGGTTTATCATAACTTTTCTTCCAAGGAGTAAGCGTCTTTTAATTTCATGGCTGCAGTTACCATGTGCAGTGATTTTGGAGCCCCCCAAAATAAAGTCTGCTACTGTTTCCAGTAGAAACATCTATTTGTTCTCCATCTATCTGCCATGGAGTGCTGGGACCAGATGCCATAGTCTTAGTTTTCTGAAAGTTGAGTTTTAAGCCAACTTTTTCACTCTCCTCCTTCACTTTCATCAAGAGGCTCTTTAGTTCTTCTTCGCTTTCTGCCGTAAGAGTGACGTCGTCTGCATATCTGAGGTTATTGATATTTCTCCCGGCAATCTTGATTCCAGCTTGTGTTTCATCCAGTCCAGTGTTTCTCATGACATACTCTGCATATCAGTTAAATAAGCAGGGTGAAAATACACAGCACTGATGTACTCCTTTCCTGATTTGGAACAAGTCTGTTGTTCCATGTCCAGTTCTAACTGTGGCTTCCTGACCTGCACATAGATTTCTCAAGAAGCAGGTCAGGTGGACTAGTATTCCCATCTCTTTAAGAATTTTCCACAGTTTGTTGTGATCCACACAGTCAAAGGCTTTGGCATAGTCAATAAACCAGAAATAGATGTCTTTCTGGAACTCTCTTGCTTTTTCAATTATCCAACAGATATTGGCAATTTGATCTCTGGTTCCTCTGTCTTTTCTAAAACCAGCTTGAACATCTGGAAGTTCTTGGTTCACGTACTGTTTAAGCCTGGCTTGGAGAATTTTGAGCATTACTTTACTAGTGTGCGAGATGAGTGCAACTGTGCAGTAGTTTGAGCATTCTTTGGCACTGCCTTTCTTTGGGATTGGAATGAAAATTGACCTTTTCCAGTCCTGTGGCCACTGCTGCATTTTCCAAATTTATTGGCATATCGAGTGCAGCATTTTCACAGCATTATCTTTTAGGATTTGAAATAGCTAAACTGGAATTCCATCACCTCCACTAGCTTTGTTTGATTTGTAGGAGTTCCTTATATATTTTAGAAATTAATCCCTTATCAGATAAATAGCTTGGGAAATATTTCCCCCCACTTCATAAGTTACCTTTTCACTGTTAATGGTTTCTATTGCTGTGTAGAAGTTTTTAATTTGATATAGCTCCATTTGTCTATTTTTGCTTTTGTTGTCTGTGCTCTTGACATCATATCTATGAAATCATTACCAAAATCAGTCTTGAAGTCTTTCCCCTGTGATTTTTTTTCTTGCTGTTGTAGTTTCAGGTCTTACATTTAAGTCCTTAGCCCATTTTGAGTTGATTTTTGTGTAAGGATCCCCTTTCATCTTTTTGCATATGGATATCCAGTTTTCCCAATAGAATTTGTTAATATGTAGTTTTCATTCAACAAATACTTATTAAGCATCTTTGGGCCAGGCATTATGGTAGGCATAGGAGAAAGGGAAAGATATATCCACCTGAATGTGGCGTTACAAAGAATAGCAAGGAGAGATAAGAAAGCATTCTTAAGTAGTAATGCAAACAAATAAAGGAAAACACAGAACTGGAAAGACTAGAGATCTCTTCAAGAAAATTAGAGATAACAAGGGAACATTTCATGCAAATATGGGCACAATAAAGGACAGAAACGGTAAGGACCTAACAGAAGTAGAAGAGATTAAGAAGAGGTGGCAAGAATACACAGAAGAACTGTACCAAAAAAAGGTCTTAATGACCTGATAACCATAATGCTGCGATCACTCACCTAGAGCCAGACATCCTGGAGTGTGAAGTCAAGTTTGCCTTAAGAAGCATTACTACAAACAAAGCTAGTGGAGGTGATGGAACCCCAGCTAAGCTATTTCAAATCCTAAAAGATTTAATCCTGTTAAAGTGCTGCACTCCATATGCCAGCAAACTTGGATAACTAAGCAGTGGCCACAGGACTGGAAAAGGTCAGTTTTTATTCCAATCCCAAAGAAGGGTAATGCCAAAGAATGTTCAAAATACCATACAGCTGCACTCATTTCACATGCTAGCAAGATTATGCTCAAAATCCTCCAAGCTAGGGTTCAGCAATGCATGAACCAAGAACTTACAGATACACAAGCTGGATTTAGAAAAGGCAGAAGAACCAGAGATCAAATTGCCAACATCCACTGGATCATAGAAAAAGCAAGAGAATTCCAGAAAAACATCTACTTCTGCTTCATTGACTACACTAAAGCCTTTGACTGTGTGGATCACAACAAACTATGAAAAATTCTTAAACAGTTGGGAATACCAGACCACCTTACCTGCCTCCTGAGAAACCTGTATGCAGGTCAAGAAGCAACAGTTGGAACCAGACATGGAAAAACAGACTGGTTCAAAACTGGGAAAGGAGTACATCAAGGCTGTCTATTGCCACCCTGATTATTTGACTTATATGCAGAGTACATCATATGAAATGCCAGGCTGGATGAATCACAAGCTGGAATCAAAATTGCTGGCAGAAATAACAATAACCTCAGATATGCAGATGACACCACCCTAATGGCAGAAAACAAAGAGGAACAAAAGAGTCTTTTGATGAAAGGTGACAAAGCTGGCTTAAAACTCAACATACAAAAAACTAAGATCATGAATCCAGTCCCATCACTTCATGGCAAACAGATGGGGAAACAGTGGAAACAGTGACAGACTATTTTCTTGGGCTCCAAAATCACTGCAGATGGTGACTGCAGCTATGAAATTAAAAGATGCTTGCTCCTTGAAAGAAAAGCTATGACAAACGAAGACAATACATTAAAAAGCAGAGACATCACATGGCTGATGAAGATCCGTATACTCAAAGCTATGGTTTTTCCAGTAGTCATGCACAGGTGTGAGAGCTGGACCATAAAGAAGGCTGAGCACTGAAGAATCGATGCTTTTAAACTGTGGTGTTCGGGAAGACTCTTGAAGAGTCCCTTGGACAGCAAAGAGATCAAATCAGTCAATCCTAAAGGAAATCAGTCCTGAATATTCATTGGAAGGACTGATGCTGAAGCTGAAGCCCCAATATTTTGGCCACCTGATGTGAAGAGCCAATTCATTGGAAAAGACCCTGATGCCGGGGAAGATTGAGGGCAGGAGGAGAAGAAGGCAACAGAGGATGAGATGGTTGGATGGCATCATCCACTCAATGGACATGAGTCTGAGCAAATTGAGGGAGATTGTGAAGGACAGGGAAGCCTGGCATGTTGCAGTCCATGGGGTCACAAAGAGTACAACACAAGTGAGCAAATGAAAAAGAGGATTCAGACTGAGAAGAACATAATGGTTGCAAGTACAACCTTTAGAACCAAAGTACCTGGGTTCAAATCCTGGTGCTATCATTTCTAACTGTTTCATTTTGGACAAATTACTAACTCTGCGGTCCCTCAATGTCCTCATCTATATAAAAGGGGTAGTAGTTATGGTTCTTTCCTCACAGGGTTGATGTGAGGATTAAAAAAATACATGTAAAAGGTTTAGAAAAGTGTCTAGCGTTTGTTACGCACTCTTATGTACTGGCTCTTAAGACACAGTCCTTACCTCTCAAGAGCTCACTGTCTCCAGTTGCCCCCTGTCCACCTGACCCACGTGGCAGGCTGGGCTATCTGGGTCTTTGGCACCTCAAGTGACCCATAGTTTCTGGCTACCCTTTCCTGGAATCACAGGATGAATGGGTGCAAGTTTTTGGGTCACATATTCCCGTGAGACCCTGGGCAAGTAATTTCTAATTTCTGGGTCTCACTTTATGCACTTGTAAAGGAAGGAAGTTGGACCAAAATATATTTCCAAATCCCATTAAATGCCTTGTTCTGGGTAGACCGTTGGCTTGAGCAAGTCACTCAACCTCTCTGCGCTTGTCTCACCAAAAAAAGCAGAATAATATTACTAACCACCTCCCAGGTTATGGCGAGGATACCACTACGCCACGCAAACCCCCAATTCCGTGCGCTCGCTCATGGGAGGCCGCCTTTATACTCGGTCTCTTTGCCTTTCAGCGCAGGCGCGCTGGAGCCCGGGCGGCCTGCATGTTCCAGACTTCCGGTTCCGAGGGGACTCAGAGGCCAGACGGAGACTAATGGCGGCGTCCACGGAGCAGGCCACGGGGGGCGTTGAGAAGACCGCGGCGGAAGAGAAACCGCGAGTTCTGGAACCTGGGGCAGCCCCGTTCGGAAATTTCCCTCATTATTCCCGCTTCCACCCTCCAGAGCAACGGCTTCGCCTCCTACCCCCAGAGCTGCTTCGCCGCCTTTTCCCTCAGAGTTCCGAGACAAGGCCGATCCTGGGACTCGACGTGGGGTGTAACTCCGGGGTGAGTGCCGGGGGAGGGATCGGACGTCGGTTGAGCCGAGAGGTTGGCAGCCTTCAAGTCCGCTGGGCTTTCGTCCTGGGCGTGGTATTACACCTCTCCCAGCGTCCCCAAAATGAGTTTAAAGGTGTAGCGTTCGACCCCTTGCCGCTGCTACGGGACCTCCGGGCTCCTAACACCATCTCTTTTAGGAATCTGGGGGAGGAATCATTTTCAAATTCGTTCGAATTCCTGCGCCCCGCCTCCGCACTTGCAGCATCACAGCCGAACCCCGGGTGGGCAGGGCCACAGTGCCTGGGCTTCCGGCTGTTGCCTCCTGTCCAACGTGGCTGGCGGCTTGCTGGAGGAGAAGGGGCTGCCTGAGACCCACGTTTGGAAGCGTAGGGTTGGGATTGGTTTACTGGATGAGATGACCCGGGGGTAACAGAATCATGCCTGAAATTAAGGTAAGTGTGAAACAGTGCAGAATGGACCCTGGAGCCAAGTGGATATTTTAAAAGCAATCAATTGGCTGAGTACAGTGGAGAAGATCGAGAAAGAAAATAAAGCATCCTGTTAGAGGAAGGCTTTGCCACATTTTCTTACCACAGAGTATTCTTAGGCATAACAATGATTATAGTCAGACCACAAGCAAAACAGCGGAGTGTCTCTCTAGCACCTATTTGTAGTCACTAGGATATCCTAGAGGAGCAGGCATTCCGACCCTATGATTACAGATGCTTCACCAAGTTAGTACCGTCACTCATTTCCAGACCGGGAGGGGAAGGGGTAAGGAAAATTTTACCCTGTTTCTGGCCTTAGGCAGAAGAGACTTTAGTAGAAGGTTGAGGGCTGTAGGGACACAGCTGGTAAATGGGAGGCGGGGTTGCATTTGGACACAGGCTAAAAGCTGGAATGAGTAGAGATTGGTGTCTGGCTATCCTTTGCAGACATTTCTCTACTGTGATGATATATGAAATCAGAGGGGGAAAGCAATGGAAAAGAGAAACTGGATATCAGATTTTGGGTTTCATGAAAGGCATTAGGAAACCACAAGAGATTTTAAAGTTGAAAGTGCTGTATGTGCACGTTAGGAGCCAAGACATAGTTGCAGTTAACTAGAGCAGTGGTTCCTAAACTTGGCTATATATTTAGGGAGTTTATTATTTTGCACTTAAGAAGAGATGCTTGTATTAATACTTGATAAGACCCCCCCTCAATTCAAAATACAAAGGGATACATAGCAAATTTCTACTCCTGACCCTAAATCCTCCTCTACCCATGATGATAGTTGCTCAGTCGTGTCCGAGTCTGCAACTGTGGACAGTAGCCTGCCAGGCTCCTCTGTCCATGGAATTCTCCAGGCAGGAATACTGGAGTGAGTGGCCATTTCCTTCTGCAGATGATCGTCTAGACCCAGGGACTGAACTCAGGTCTCCTGCACTGCAGGCAGATTCTTTATGTCTGTGCCACCAGGAAAGCCTCTTCCTGTACACAATGGCAACTGCTATTTATAATTTCTCAAGTATGTGGCCTGTGTGTACACAGACATCTATGTGTGTATAAATATCTCACCTCTTCTAGTTTTACAAATAATAGCACACTGTTTTGCACCTTGCCCTTCGTTTAGTAATTTGGAGATCACTCATATCACTACATTCTTTTTTAGTAGCTTCATAATATTTTTTTGTATAGATGTGCCATAATTTTGGGGGTACTTTGTTTAAATCTTAAAAACTAGGCCTTACTCTAGACCTACTGAATCAGAAACTTGGGGATTGAGACCTTGAGTCTGTATTTTCTTTTTTTTAAGCTTCCTAGGAACTCTAAGATTCAGGAATTAAAAATGGAGAATATTAAGAGATGTGGTAGAGGAGGGACTGATGTGATGAAAATGACTGATCAAACATGGAATACACCCAGGACTTCCCTGGTGGTCCAGTGGTTTAAGAGTCTACCAATGCAGGGGGCACGGGTTTGATCCCTGGTCAAGGAAGTAAGGTCCCACATTCCATGCATGCATGGTCAAAAGATTTTTTTTTTAATGTGGTACACCCAGGATCAGCTAGCAGGAGGGAAACAGAGAAATAAATACAGAGAGAGGAAGAAATTTTTAAGCAGAATACTATAGAATCTTCCTACTCAAAATGTGGTTCTTGAACTATAGTATCAGCATGACTTGGAAGCTTATTAGAAATACAGAATCTCAGTTCCCAACCCAGATCTACTAATTCAACATTTTTATTTTAGCAAGATCCCTAGGTGATGTGAAGGCCTATTAATGTATGAGAAGCCTGTTATGGAGTAAATAACTTAATGTTGCCTAAATCTTGCCATATAATAACCATGTGACATTGGACTGTCCTCTGAACCATAATTTTTAAAATACAGGGTTTTTTTGTGTGTGTGTGAACTACACCACACATAGAGAACAGTGCACAAAACATAAATTCACACTTTATGAATTATTATAAAGCAGAAACTTTGATGACTAATGTCTGAATCAAGAATAAAATGTCAGCAACCCAAGAAGTCTCCCATATGCCTTTCCCTGCTCATATACCCCCTTCTCTACCCAGAGAGCTCAACTTTTATTATTATTGTTCCCTTGCTTTTTTTATAGCTTACTAATTTTGTATCCCTAAACAATGTAGTTTAATTTTATACATTTTAAAACTTCATATAAATGGAAGCTTGCCATGTATTTTCTTTTTGTGTCCTGCTTTTTTATTCGGCATTATGTGTTTTCGTGAGTCATCCATGTTGCTGCACTGAGCTGAATTCCTTCATTTTTAATTGCTATCTGGTGTACCATCTTAATCTCTGCTACTATTATTGGACATCTGGGTTGTTTTCAGCTACACTTTCTTCACCTACAGAAAGGGCTTATATATTATCCTCACAGGATTGCTGCACAGAGCAAATGAGGTAGTGGATAGAAAAATGCCTTGGAAAAAAACAGATTAGAACACAAATTTGAGTCAGTTATAATGATTATAGAAGTCAAAGTTAGAGAAAGGAGATAGTGACTTAAGAGTCAAAAAGGTGCTAAGGTGGTGAAAATCAAATCGTTGGATTTGGCTCGAAGGAGGTCAGCGGTGATTTTGGGGGATAATGGATACAAAAGCAGAGTGAGTCTCAAAAGGGGGTGGTGAAGTGTAAGACATGTAGTAAAACTGAAGATGCAGAGTGAAGGCTGAATGAGGACTTTTTGGAATCCAGACTTTCCCAACCACAAGTCTGAGAAGTAGATTTTTATGAGATGGTGCTTGCTCTCTTCCTCACCTTCCTGGCAGGGAGCATGGTTATTATGCCTCTTAAATATTTTGCTTCTCCCTGGGGTATGAGTTACCGCCCCGCCCCTGCCCGCCCCCCCCAAAAAAAAGATAGCATGTTACTTAAGCTGGAAAATACTGCTCTGGACTCCTTTGCTGCATCCATTGGGCTATAACTTTCTTTTTTTTTTTTTCCCATTGGGCTATAACTTTCAACCATGCAACCCATCAGTGTCAGGAAGGTATAGAGATGATGCATTACAGCCTGAGACCCCTGGAGGGCTCTGACAGCCTGCTCTGTGGAAAACTTTGGGGGCAACCTCCTTAGGCTATAGTTTAAAAACCTTACATCCCATGAAGCCAGGAGTAAGTGATTGAATGAGAGGCTAAGAGATACAGGTTTCTATTCCAGTCACTGGTCAAGAGCTACAATGACAAAGCTCTTTTGGATTCCTCTAGGATCTGAGTGTGGCTCTGTACAAACATTTCCTTTCCCTACATGATGGGGAGACCTGCTCAGATGCCTCAAGAGAACTCCATCTCCTCTGCTGCGACATAGATCCTGTCCTGGTGGAACGAGCTGAAAAAGAATGCCCTTTTCCTGATGGCTTGACTTTTATTACCCTGGACTTCATGAATCAAAGAACCCGGAAAGTTCTCCTGAGCTCTTTCTTGAGCCAGTTTGGACGCTCAGTTTTTGATATTGGCTTCTGCATGTCAGTAACCATGTGGATTCACCTGAACCATGGGGACCAAGGCCTGTGGGAGTTCCTGGCCCACCTTTCTTCCCTATGCCGCTACCTCCTTGTGGAGCCACAGCCCTGGAAGTGTTACCGGGCAGCTGCAAGGCGTCTCCGGAAGCTGGGCCTCCATGATTTTGACCACTTCCGCTCCCTGGCCATCCAAGGTGATATGGCCAGTCAGATTGTGCACATCTTGACCCAGGACCATGGCATGGAATTAGTATGCTGCTTTGGCAACACCAACTGGGACCGAAGCCTTCTGCTCTTCAGGACAAAACAAGCCACAGAGACTCATCCGATCCCTGAGTCACTGATAGAAGAAGGAAAAGAAAGGAACAGAATAAGATTCTGGAGACAGTGAGATGGGAGGGCAGTAAGACCAGGATAGAGATATTGAAAGAGTTTTATATAAAAATTAAGTTCACTCCTTAACTCCTGATAGTTAGGCAGCCTCGAAACCTGGCAGAAGTTTTGTAAATGTCTGGGACATGGAACTAAACAAATCACTGTCTGTTCCCCATTTTGGGGGATGATCCCTGAGGAGACTATATCTGAGGGGCAATGACCTGGGCTGTCTGGAAGGAGGTGACCTGGAAAAAGTGCTTCTGGGATATGGAAGGGGATGCTTTTGGTGATTATTTAGGAAAACTTAGACAAGGTTAGCCTTAGAATGTATCTGTTCCCTGGGCTACTTAAATCTGATCCTTCTTCAGGCTTCTTCTAGACTTATCCTGTCTATGAGGCAAAACCTCACAATACAGTCTGGAATGAAAAGTCACTAGCCTGTCTAAAGGAGAGCTTTGGTAGGAAAAATATCTTTCCAGAGCAGGTCAAGTTTCCAGCACTCCCAGGCTGAGCACGGCAGTCACAGATACAGTACTAGCCAAGATACATTGACTAGCATTTACAAAGTGTTTAAAAGATTTAAATCATGAACTCAAAACTTTTATCTGGTACAAATGAATGAAGTGGGGTTGTATACAGTATATACAATTATATATAATAAAAGTAACTTGAGTATGATTGAGAATACCCTGTGAATCTGGAGTAGAAAATAAACTTCTGCCTTTAACCACTCTACCCTTGGAGGTTTCAGCTCAAGAAAAAGAACCTCACCCAAGATCAAAGCAGAAAACATGCCAGTGAGAAGTTAATTTAGGACTTTCTTGTCAGGGACCTCTGCCAAAGCACACCAGCATGGAGACACATACCACTATGGGGATTGGAATATACGCAGGGAAGCGTACACAAAATGCAGCCTGCAGTTGGATGGCTGTAGCATCTGTGCTGTGGAACAGGTGTCACTGATGTCTGACAGGTGTCAATTTTTAAAACACCCATGAGTCTATTCCAAGGGAAAGTGGAAGGTAGAAACAGATTTGGTGGAGAGAAGATGGAAAAACAAAACACCTATCTAAGAAGGGAGACTGGATTGATGAGTTTAAAAATCCCTTAGATCCTGTTTTCAGAGTTGATGTTATAAGAGGAAGGAACAGGGAACAAGAGAGTCTGAACCACCAATTAGAGGTTGGACCTCTTGAAAGAGAAGTTAGGAAAAGTTCCTACTAAGGAATTTGAACTTTATGCATGAGGGAGCAGAAGCCAGAGCAGTCTCTAAATAATAGGAGGATGGAACCAAAACCTTCATTTAGGAAAACCAGTTTTTCTATTTTGTGCAGGATAATTGTATGGTAGGTGCCATTTCCAATCTCAATTAGACTCCAATACTACATCTCAGTCTTTTTATATTGCTGCTTCTGATCACTTTTACCCTAGAGACTCTTCCAGACTCTGCAGGCTCTTGACTCTATTCCTGCTCCATTAATCTACGCAGGTGCCCTAACCACCACCTAGTGCCATTTTTGTTTCAGGTGTCAGGAAGTCTTTTTTTGCCCTCAGTCTTGAACCCTTCGTCTTCCCTTGTTTTCACTTCTAACTTACCCAGTAATGTTTTATCCAAATAACCTCTGCCTAAGTCCCTGATCCCAGCCTATACTACCTCTCCCAAAGTGTACTTTATTAAGGATCCTCTTGGTGTCCTTTGGCCTCATTGACTCCTTCCTATCCACCTACCAACATGTTAAGTTCTCTCTCATCTTCAAAACCACCAACTTTTCCTTTGTCCTATCTCCCTCTCCACCTTATGCAATCTTTCCCTCCATCTCTTCACCACCAAACATGAGCAAAGTCCTTGAAAGAAAGGATGCCAGAGCCTCTGCTCCCTCCCCTCCCATTCATCAGTGACCACTCGAACACCATATTCTGAGGTCTCTTTTCAGTCTTCCTCCTGAGCCATGGAATCATTCAACACTATTGACTCCTTCCTTATTGAACAACTCGCCCTTGGTTTCTCTGTCATACCTCTCCCCCTTTATTCTCTTCCAATCTCTTAGTTTCTCTCTGTCCCTTAAGCAATTGGTTTACATTTTAATTTGTATAAAAATTACCCGGGAATTCCTAGATTCATCTCCAGAAACTGATTCGGGTCAGAAATGGGGCTTAAGATTTTGGTTTGATTTGGGGTTTTGGCACTTTTTTTTTTTGCATTTTTTTTACTGTGGTAAAATAAATGTAACATAAAATGTAGTTTTAACTATACATTCTGTGTACATTCTGTGGCATTAGATACATCCACAATGAGGAATCTTTTTAACAAGTACCCCATATGATTCTGACGCAAGTTGAAACACCACACTGTGACGCTTGGGGTTCCTTAGTATCCATCCAGTCCTCTTCTACATATTTTTCTTGGGGTGATTTCGTCTGTTCCAATACCTTTAACAACTGCCTATATGCTGATAACCCCCAGTAGTTATAAGCCCCACCTTCACAGTTCCAGATTAATATTTCCCTGTTTTGTAGTCACATTCCCTTGATGGCTCAGACGGTAAAGAATCTGCCTGCAATGCAGGAGACCCGGGTTCAGTCTCTGGGTCAGGAAGATCCCCTGGAGAAGGGAATGGCAACCCACTCCAGTATTCTTGACTGGAGAATTTCACAGAGGAGCCTGGTGGGCTACAGTCTATGGGGTAACAAAGAGTTGGACATGACTGAGTAACTAACACTTTTCCCTAGATAGTTATCTGGCACCTCAAATCCAGCATATCCCAAAAGCAAACTCACTACCTTTATTCCAAACCTAATCCTATCTCAATTGTTGGCATCCTCTCATTGCTCAAGCTACAAATTTCAGTTAATTCTCCTCATTTATACTTCCCACATTGAAATACAGCCCAGTAAATTCTACCAATAATATGTAAGTTCCACTTATTTCATCCATGTGACTGGTGCCTACCAAAGGTTTCCAGGTACATCTTCAGTGGTTTCCAGGTACTTAGAGTCTTGTCCATTATCCAGAGCCTGACGACTGCTGTTCAATAAGGTAGCTGCTTGCTAATTACATTAAATAAAATGAAATAAAATTTAAAATTCAGCTCCTCAGTTCTGCTAGCCACATTTCGGGTGTTCAGTGGCCATATGTGACTAGTGACTAGATTATTGGACAGCGCAGATACAGAATATTCCCATTGTTGCCGGAAGTTCTGTAGGACAGTGCTAGTCTTCATGCCTTTCCTCCATACGTCAGTCATACTGAGATGAACTTCGTAGCACAAACTCCTGCCTGCCTTTGCTCTCCCCTTTTCCACTTTGCAGTGTGGTTCAACTGTTTGTCCTAAAAGATGGCTCAGATGTTACATTTTCTCAGAAGTCTTCCCCAACTACTATAGTACTTACATTTGTTACTATACTCTAGTGAGGACTTTGCATGGAAGCCTCTATTACAGTGTTTACCTCATCATACTATAATTGTTTTGATGCCTCTTCCTCACCACCAGGAGACTGAGCTCCTCAAGCTCAACTTATTTTTGTATAGCCCTAACTCAATGTCTGACACATGGTAGGCAGCCAGGAATTACTTGTTGATTGAAGATATGAATGAACAAAAGAGAAATACACCAGAATACAAGTACTGAGAAGAAAAGGGAGACCTATGAATGAGCAAAAGACTATCCAGGATACTGTAAAACTGGGGAAACTAGAAAGCTGAGAATATGCTTAGCCTTTGGCATGGATTTTTGAGTAGTGTTTCCCAAATATATATCTGAGATAGGATGTTCATTCCAAGGCCTTCTTTATTGATAGTTTGGAAGAGAGCAGCAAATAAAGACTAGATACAAAAATTTGGAAGTCATTCACATAGAATGATTAAGATTTAATGAGTAGTAAATTCCAAAAATAGGTGGATGTAATAGGGGACAAGATCCTAGGTTTGAGGGCTGCTGATAGTTTTTGAGTGAGGAAAATAAGGAACAACCGAAAGAGGTCTGGTTAGAAACAGGAAAAAAAACAGAAAAAGATAATACAGGACCATGTGCCAGACAACATAAATTTTTAAATCCTGAACCCTATGGGATAGACACTATTATTATCCTCATTTTGCATATGTGGGAACTGAAGCATATATAAGTTAAGTGACTCCCAAGGTCACACACCTTGTAAGCGGCAGAGCTGGGCTTTGAACCTAGGCAGTGTAGTTGTGGAGACTGGGCCTTGACTACTATGCCTTGAAATGTCACAGAAATCAAGACTGAGAAGAGATTCCCAAAAAACAGTGTAAAAGAGCATATGCTTTGGAGTTACTATGCTGCTTCAAATTATGTGTTCAGACCTAGGAATAAGAGACCCAGCCAGGCCACTCTTAGCTATGCCTGATGTTCTTAGAATTTCCCTCACAGAAATCAGGCCTAATTCTAGGTTTAATACCTAGTAGTAGCCCTGCTGCTGCCGCCTTCCAGTTAAATGAGCACATTTTGCAAACAGACACCCTGATAGGTCTCCGTAAGTGCTAACTACCCTCACTGTGCTCTTGACTTGCCAGCATCCATAACCTTTCCCTGAATTTCTGAAACTTCCAATCTGCTCCTAGCTTTGACTTCTGGATAGGACCTCCAAAAGTGGGTTTCATGCTGAGGAAGTAGGGATTCCAAGGCCTACTCCAGGATGTATTAAAATCCAAAAGTCAGATCCTTCTCAGCAATCTGGCATCAAGTGTGGCCTAGGAACAGTGCAGTGGAAAGAACATCAGGTTTGGAAGGAGGCTCTGCCAGTAACTCATTGTATGACCACCCTATTCAATTCATTTAACCTCTCTGAGCTTCAGTTTACTCATCTGTACAACTGAAATAACCAGACCTTTTTCCTATGCCCAGATGAGCTAAATGATATAAAAGTAATTGGCAGAATATGGTTATGGTTAAACCAAAGTGCTGTTATCTTCTAAGCATGCTATGGATCACAGCCATGCCTGTTAGATCAAAGGCTTATGAGAAAAATATCTTGTCTCTAGAAAACATGCATCTT